CTAGTATCGATTGCGGAAAATATTGCATATGCGCAGCGATACGAGAAACGAATATGGAGATTAATTCGGTTATTAATACGCCGATTAGTTCTTAGAAAAATAAATATTTCTTTATTCGAAGATTCGGCCAATTTCGATGGGTGCTCTCTTACGAATTTGGGTAATCGGACTACCGTAACAGGTTGTTGGATGTCAAATATTGTAATACTATGGGCGATTTGTACTTGACGATCCTCGGTGGGAAGAATGAAAAGTGAATCGAAAATTCAGACTAGTCTACTAATCTACAAATATAATCTGCCTTTATTAAATCGAAAGCATGATTCGTGCGGACGAACGTGCCTCCTGATATATGTACATATACCGATATTACATACAAAACAAGGGATTAAATTCTTCAAATAAATATCACAGATTATGTATGGTGGAACGTAGCACAGCCGGTTTAATCATCCTTTAAATAGGAAATTACGTACGCCGTTGGCTATAGATATTAGGGCATCTATTCGCTACATTTATCGAACAACTCTAACAAATTCTATTTTATCGAGTATTTTACATTGGATTAATCGTAATAGGTAGGTAGGTCTAGGTTATCTAAACTAGAAAGCGAAAGAAATATCTGCCGATGTCCTAATATTACTTACGGCCAAATAAATAGCGTCCGAATAACGATACGTTGATAATATACAACGTCGAAGAAAGAGAGTTTAGGTTGATTTCACCGTGCTACGAAGATCACGTCGTTTCGGTTTTTCTTACGCGATAGGACAGCTAATCGATCGATCGAGTTCGTTAATTCAGTGTGCTGTGAAGTAAAGGTTTAAGCTTTTAGCGCGAGCGTTACCTTACTTTCCGAGACGACTATATTACCGCAATACTTACGGTAAACGAATCTTATATCGCGCAAAGCCGACTGTTTAATTATCGGGTTTTCGATATTATATCTTTAGACCGAAGCAATTCTTGTTTTCAGATACGCCTTGCTAATACTAAACCTACTAAAAGTAGCGGTTAATATACCGTTTAGATTTCGCATGACTTGCGCGTGCTTTAAACGTGTAAAAAAGTCTGCAAAAATTCATCAAAACGCTTTCAAGTATGCAGCTTAAAAGTATAAATAGACGGCGAAGTTTTATGGGTTTATGGATTTATGGGATATTTTGTGCCGCGAAAATGCATAGAAATTGGCCATAAAATTCAAACGTTCGAGAAAGATTGTTCCATCTTTTTACCTGCGATAATTTTGCAGCGCCAAGGTATCGTAACGACAGAGTAAACGAGATCGGTGAGTCGATGAAATATTCCAATATACCATATACCATTCCATACCAACGAGAGATCATTTCCATTTACCATTTATTTGAAATTACAAAATTAAGCAAAACAAGCTCATCGTAATTTTCCGACGACAGTTTGCGAATTTGTTTCATGTCGACTAACAGCTAGGTACATCGAAACGCTGTACGATGAAATTCGAAGGGATTGGAAGCGGCGAATCTCGACACACATGGGTAAACGATCGCCGGAAACGCTACCGTTCTAACAAAAGTACCAGAGTTCTCTCTCGAAATATTTATCACGAGACAGGGACTTGTTTGTCGTACATGGTTCAAGGGTCACATACTCTACCGTTTGATTTATCGATTGATTCGTCGATTGCTTCGTCGATTGCTTCGTCGATTGCTTCGAGCTACGTTAGCCGAAATGACGAAATCGCCGCGCCACACTTACAGGTAAATGATTGTTCCGCGATCGAGATTGCGTCGCTAAGCTCGCTGATTTCCACGATTTCAATGGTCTTGGCATCTATATACATTTAGAATATGCGAATGTTACGAATTGTTATATAAATTTTCAAATAGGTCTGCGCATCGCGACCTCGCCGTGTAAAGTAATTTGATATTTGTGATATTTGATAGTTGCGCGTCGTCCTTTGTGACAGAAAGGTAAATATACGTTTTAAGCAATCTACCATATTTCATGTTATTAATATCCGTGAGCCTGAAAACAAATTTTCGTTTATATTTCGATCAACGCGATACGAGGTAATTAACCATTTATAGGAAATTCTCCTTATTTACACGTGTAACTTACGATACCGCGATTGTCGTGGAAACATTGAAGACATCCTGTATATGTTGGCTTTTGCACCAGCTGATCATTAGCTGTTTCAAAATTTGCCAATTTTTCGTGTGAAATTGTTAAATAGTAGTAATAGAGAATACGTGGGAAATTGGTAATAAAAGAATAGCAAGAATACAAGAATTCTACAAGGTAAAACGATATATCGGTGACGACTTGCATAGATTTTACCTATTACTCAACCTAACACGCTACGTTAGATTTCCACTGTGAAAATAGAAAAAGAGGAAGCAAGTACGTGCTTTACGGGCTTCTCAGGCTTCCTTGGGAATCGAAATTTCGACCGATCGAAATAATCGGACGTCGCTTCGTCTGTCAGATATTGTACGTAACGATTTACATGGTATCGAAATCGGTTTAAACGCGAGTGGCCTAGGATCTCGTGGACACGAAATTTCTTCGTATTCTCGAAATTTGTTGCATTTTAACGTTAGCTCGTGGTTACAGAGAAGCGTTTTATCGAATAAAAAATGAAATGGAAAAGAAGCAAGTTGATCGTAAGATTGCAAGTGGAATTGTCAGGTTCGACGATTTCGATCTTCTTCCCTTTTTCGATATTATAATCTTCTTCTTTTTATCTTTTCGATTTTATAGGCTTCTTAAAATCTTGCAAATCTTTCTTGCTTGCTAAAATAAAGGCAAGATGGAAATATAGAGGTTCGAGGTTTAAACGAAAGTCGGAATAAATGAAAATTTGCCTGGAAAACAACTCTTTTTCCAAATAATTAGAATGGTGCAACGCGGAGAAAATGAAAATTAATAGAAACGCTAGATTGGAAATAGATCCTTTCGGGAAACCAATCGAGACTGATATTATCGTGAAAATTACCAGTGACTACCGTTTAATTAAACCGTGAACGAACGAAAGTCGAGAAAACTCTGTTGATTGTAAAATGATCGAACGAAACGGATATCCGCTCCAAATGTCAAAGTTCGGAATCGTATTCTCCCTGAACGAGCGTTGCACTCCATTAATTTCCTAAATTTGTTCGAATAGAACGCAATGAAATGAAAGCTCGTGAATACCATTCGCACGATCGATGATATACAGGTCGTTCGTTCATCCAATCTCCTTGCTCCGCGACAAATACCATGTAAAGATATTTTTTGTCGTCCGCAAAGATCCATGATATCGTGCTGACAATGAGATAAGAAAATATTCGAAAAAATTCTACAAACTAACGATCCTATTTCAACGAAATTGCCCACCTAATTGCCCTTTTCTAATTGTCTAATCTGCTGTTCTTTCCTACGTACAACGTCGAAACGTAGAATTCGGTAATTTAGACGAACGGAAGAAAGATGGCAAATTTATCAACGTATCGCGTTAATGCAACGATGGTCTTTGATGGGTTAATAATCGTAGCAATTAGCAATCGTAGTTTTGACATATTTTAATCTCGAATTCGAAATGAAAATCCGTATACGCGTACTTGTTGCAAGTACCGTTTAAAGAAACCTGATTTGCGTAATTTATATCTAGACATTTCTATCCGTGATTTCGCACGAACTTTCAAATTTATTTCGATTTATTTCCATTTATTTCGTGAAATAATTTGTTAATAAGAGTTCGTTTTATACTTTTCGCTGTTCCGTTTTCCGTATCTCAACGAACCGTGTCCCGCTTTTAACTTTCTTGCCTCTCGATTCGAACAGTGCGTTCAATTCGGACGAGAATTTAATAAACCTCGCTCGATTTATATCCAAAACAAAGTTCTGCCAGAAATCGTACTTTTAAATAGCGTTGCTAATTGGCCTTTGACGCCGTAGCGACGTCGAAACTAGAGAAGAAACAACCTCGAGAAATATACTTTATCTGTTTTTTCCTCGCTACGCTTTTTCGTGTTTTCGCTCACAGAAACGCTACTAAATTCTCTTTCGCCATCAACAGCTGGTGACTAATTCCAGTAACATATAGTAACACGAGATATCGCTTCTCTCGTCGTTAAAGGAGTCGGTTATCGGCCTCGATTCGGATACTCTCAATTTTCGACGAAACCAACAGTGTCTACTCGACTTCGTTCGGACAAATTCATTCAGTCCAAACAATTTGGATTTCGCGCACACCTTCGCACGCCAGTAAAACCTCTGTTATCCGAATACAGCACAGTTCGAACATTCGATTATCCGAACGTTCTATCTATTCTGTCCTATTTCCTTTGAAACAGAAACGGTATACACAGTGTACACTGATTTGATCGTAACAGCTGTATGCATTCGTACTACGTTGACAGTCTAATCGTTCTCATAGCAGATATTTACGCTACTCACAGACTATTTCACACCATTGCAAATTTTATGCAACTTAAACATTTATCAAACTACGTAATTTTGGAATTTCCTTATATCGGACATTTTTTTTTTTTTTTTTATTAGAAATTCATCGTAGTATTACTTTTGTGCGAGAAATGAAAATATGCAAGACTCGAGTTTGGGGTACGAACTTGGAACTAAAAAGAGAAACAGCTTTTTCTTTTGTAAGAGATAAGGACGCTCAAATTTTCCAACTTGAACGATTGACGTATCGTTTATCGAACGTAGTCGCTATTTACGACGATTGAACGTCATTTTCCGATCTTTATCCACGTTGGACAACGAAATAACCTTTGTTTCTTTCAAGTTTGGTCGCGTTCCTCGCGCGTTGTTTATCCTTTGATCGCCGGCGTCAGCATCGAGGTAATTTTCATGCTCGAACGCGACGTTCACCGACGACATTCTCAGCTTCCGCCTGGCTTTAAGAAATTCATCGCGCGACCGACAGCAGAGTTTCATCGATCGCTCGAAACAATTGAATCATCCATGTCCATTCTTTGATAAATTAAAATATGCTTTTCACCGTAAGCAAGAACAACCTATTGACTCGTCCAACTTTACCACTTACTCGTTTAGGTTGAAAAAGTTGTTTAGCTTAAAAGCAAAAAAAGACGATGCCCGTTTACACACATTCGTCGATAGATTAAAACGTAGTTTGCACGCGCCATTAAGGATCGTTGGCTGACTCGACATCGGTCGCTCGTCTGTGAACAAAAACTTTTGTACAAGAACTTTGATTTTTCGTCGAAATTTCACATCTAGAAGTAGGAAACTCTGGCTGAAAAGAAGCAAGTGACTCGATAAAATTCGTCGGAGAAAGTGGAACGAAGCGAGAACGAACTCGCACGGCCTCTATCTATCGGGCCAATCTTAGAGTATTACCGAAATCAGATCATCCATCTGCTCGGAGGCAGCAGCCTTATTTATGGACTTGATAAACCGCCACGCAGTGGAAATAGACGACAGTGTGTCTTAAAATAGGTTGACCGCATTGAAGATTTCCTTTCGGGACGCTTCTTCGTTCGTAGTTAACTTCCCGATAACGATATTTCACTTATTACTGCGAATAACGATAGAAAATCGAACAGATTGGCAAACCATTTCCACCACTTGCACCTTTACGTACCGTTTCGAGCTTAGAAATAGATCTATTTCAAATATTCCGTCTTTCGTACTCTGGCATAATAGCGTTCGGTTTTACTCGTGTCCACGGCATTCTGAAGCCCAACTAAAACGCGAAGAAAACGTAGCAGCATGTCTAACACGGTGTTCGAGCGATCTTTGATCGGAGTGGAAACTTTGATCACGACGTATCGACGGTATAAATCTCCTAGTAGCCTTTTCCGTTCTTGAAAATAGGCTCGTAACACAGAAACGTTTTCAAAATCCACTACGATACACCGAATTTCCCAGATTTACGCTAAAAAGTTATCTCTAGACTGGCGCTTTTCTATCGATCGGCGGATCAAGGTAGGCGCTCGAGCTTCGCCGACCGTTGCCCTTCGACCGTTAATCGTCGATCGAAGAAAGGTCTTGCGCGTTCTTCCATCGTTTAATCGGCGAACGAGCGTCGCGTGCTGGCCGTGTTAATTGGCCAGCGAGATGCTGCTACTCGGCTGTCGTGGCTGGTGATTGGCACGATCGGCGTTTCAGTCGAAAATAGGTCGGATTCGAAACGATTTTTTCCAGTTCAGAAGATCGTTGAGACACGTTGAGAACGTTGGAGGAACGGTTGGAAAATCAAATGCACGCCTCGATGTGCACATTGGTCATCTCGCTGGCTCTCAGCTGATTGTTAACGTGTAGTTCCGAAGACGCGTTACTGTGCACCAGATCCTGCTTCCGATGGGCTTGGCGCAGATCGCGAACCGGCCCGATCGCCACGCAACAGCTTTCGAGGGTCTTCCTGAAGGCGGCCCGGAAATCCCGGTTGAAGTAGGCGTAGATGAGCGGATTCAGCGCGCTGTTAAAGTAACCCACCCAAAACACCGCTGCAACCACCGAATCGCTGCTTTCGCAGCTGTCGCACAGAGACGTGATGACGTACCTGTTGACAAAAGAAGAAACGAATAATTACGCGTGAGATTTCAGTATGTAATTGTGATCGGTGGATTTTTGCAGAGTTTGCCTTGCCGAGAAACGAAATACGAGATACGGAGGGTAATGTTGTATCTTTACAAATACGAGGAAGATGGAAAAGAGGCAAAACGTGGAATTTTCTTTCTCATTTTTTCGAAATTCGTCGTCCCTGTGACTTTATTGTCTCGATCTTCTTGCGAATTCGGCAGGCGTTTAGATCGATGGAATAGCCGGAATATAAGAGCCGAGACGGTTTGCATGTTGGCGAAAGTTTTTCTCTTGGGCGTAGTCGCTCGTCACAGTCGCGTTCTTTTTAAACGCGCCACACACGAGTGTGTCTGCACAGACTCGGCACAGAGTTTGATTACTCAACCAAGTTAAAATTTACGAGAAGCTACGTTTCATTCGTCCTCGTTGAATCGTACCTCGGTGCAATCTCCTGTAAATTCGTGTTGATGTTATTTTCTTCCTTCTTTTCGTTCGTTTGTTACTTTTGAATTATATCGACGAGTGGGACGAACGTGTCATTTTCTGTAGTATCTTTGCTTTTGTCGCGTATCGATATAATTTTCTGTTTCATAGAGAGAGAAAAAGAGAGAAAACGGCATGGAATTTAGAAAAGAAAAAGGATGACCCTGTTTTTGGTTAAAAATCTGTCGTACGGTTAAGCGTTATCGTTAGGAAGAAATTGTTTACACTTTCGTAAAACGAACAACGCAAAGTAAGAAACACAATGAACATGGTAATCTATATATATAGGATATTGGAACTCGTAAGGGTTAGTAAAAGAAATGGAATATCGAATGAAAAATAAACGAACGTTTCTGCGTTTATCTTGGTTGAATGAATATGACGAATAGACATAATAGGCGTACATACGTAACCATGCTTGGCTTTCAGTCGGCGTTATGTCATAGATTACGTGATGATAAGGGGAGAGAAAGAGCCAATAACAACGGCTATGACGAGAAAGCGTAGAGAAAGGAAAAGTTTCCAGACGATTAGACCGTTAACATGCACAGACAGTGAACGCGAGCTCGGTTCGATTCTCTCCTAGGGAAAAGTCCGACCAGTTGCTTGGAAAAACAATTGACCTTCACCCTTTGTTGTTTAATTTTAACTCGGACTATAGCTAAGGTGGTGCACACGATTGATGTATCGATCTTACGAATGCAAGGGCAACCAAGCGCGCATGGAAATGTTACGACCGATCGAATCTGCTTGGCTTGGTTGGAGACGTAGTTTAGTCGCGTAAGCATTTTCGCTTGTTTACAAAATATAAGCAAAATTATAAGAAATACGGATAAACTGGCATATCGATTTCGGCTGGGAATTTTCGAGCGCGTTCGATATCAGCCGTAATTTGAATTCAAAGTGAGATACTTCTAGCGATCTCGATGCACATTCGAGGGGGATGGCTTTTATGCTTCGGGGTTTCTTTTAGTCAGCGAAGAAAAAAAGATTTGCTCGTTAAACGACTTCTTCTCCGTGACACCCAATGAGGCTCTACGAGAGAGAGAGAGAGAGCTTCAAGAACTTTTCCAATCTCTCGGAATCGTCAGCTTTTCATCCCCTTTCTTCCTTTTTCTTTCGATTCTATTCGTCGAGTGCTCGCTCTCTCAGTAACAAGCCTTCGTAGCCCCAGTAACAAGATCTTCGAGCACCTTGTTCGATGCTTCGACGAGATCGCCGCCTTATCGATCTGCATATGTGGCAAGAAGATGGATTATTTATTACTCTGCAAATGATATTTAAAGCAAAGTATTTGTATTCGCTTATATACTTCTTTATTGCCTTAAAAGTCTAAATATACGCGAGCATCCACGTTTAAGTCATCGTGCTGTAAAAAAGGAAGAACTGTATCGAAAGCCTTCTGATTTCGAAACGACGGCTTAGGGTTTTTGATCGAGGGTTTCAACCACGCGCAAACACAATATAATTAACACGCGTAAATAAATTACAAACTAAATTACGTTTATCTACGTTGTATCGTATTTTTAGCGATTCGAGTTGTCGAATCGTTCGATCGCAACCGTGGCACGCTGATGATCGATAACGAAGAATCGTCGAGTTGTAAAAATCCGATGAAAAGGCCGTAGAGGAGCAACTGAGAAATCCGTGGGCCTCGTCGAGCTTTGGAAAGAAAGGCGCGGCACGGAATTATTTCGCGGTTGCAGACGAGGAGCGGAGCGGATGGATGAAAGAAGCGGAGAAAGGACGCGGATGAGAGAAGGCTGAAAGAACGCTGCTGCCGTGGAACGGGGTCGACAGGAAAATGCCGCGATTTCGCCAACTTTCGCCAACACTCAGCCAACTTGTCAGACCGTGTACGTTTCGCTTTATTAACTCGTCCAGCCGCTGTACGCTTTTCACCCGTTTACCCCGACACCGTCGAGGAATCAACGGATCCGAGTCGAATGTCCGGAGTTTGGCGTTCCAGTTGCTGCAACATCGACTCGCAGCTGCTCCATTTTTTCTTTTCTCCATTTTTCGCAGCAGTCGCGTGCAATCCGCGTGTGCGATAAAATCGATAAAAAAGAATCGAAGAATTTCGTTTCCTCCTCGGTAAACAGCTTCAACTAACTTGGCTGACTAAAAGCATGCAATTATCGATTTTCGTCTTTCCTTAAGCTAATATACGATTCGTAGAAATACGATTCACGCTGAAAGAGCAGGAGTGCGTCTTTCCACCGCCGATGAAACTAGCCGCATCGTTCGCGAAATACGAAATCGTCGCTCGAAACGAATTCACAGTTTTCTTTGTCGAAAGACGGTGTAAAACCAGCGAAACGTCGCAGTGGATTTTCTTCTCGAAAGAGACAGGCTTAAATCTCGTTTGATTTCTATCGGCGACGATTACGAAAAAGTTTCGTCGTTTCCACGAAACGAGAACCAACGTTTTCCATTAGGCGAAGCGAGAAACTGGAAAGAAAGTGGCGCGAAGAAAAACGTTGCATAGGTAGGAGACAAATCGGACGGAGAGGCTCGAGACGAGCGTAGCCGGAGGCAAGCAGACAAGAAACCAACGCGATAACTTTCGTCGATTCGACGAGACAGCTGAAAACACCGGGGAAATGAACGTTTGCCGTGGAAATTGCGATTCGTAGGAAGAAAATGGTCGCATGGGCCGGAAAATCGGGACGATTCTTCGTTTCCTCCTGTCGGCTGAATACGCGAAACGGCTGTTAATATTCGGACATCTCTGTACTTTTTTTGTACGAGAGAGGATGATTTAAATATCGCGTATCTTGTTCCATTTATACGTAAAGAATGTCTCGTGTTTCCTAACGATAACGTTTAAATGCCTTGTTGCCTTATAACCTTGAGCGTCTTGTTTTCACATCGCGCCGATAGTTGGTCGCTTGTTTGCGATTCCAGCAATTCTTGGAAATAGTTGAAACCGCGGAATGGATTTATTCTGTACAATTATTTGATATAATTAACTTCTTCGTCTACGTCTTCGAGTACTTGCCAATTTATCGTCCATTTGGCAAAGTTGGTGAAAATAGGAATTTTATTGGACTGGCAACTAAGCGATCGCGGCTTTTGTTATATTAATTGGTATTGACAAAATCACTTAGTCGTCAACCCAATACTTTTTCTTGCGATCGAATGAACTTTGTCTAATTTTATCGCAGTCACTTGTTGCGTTGCTCGAGTCGTTTCTATTATTTCTTTCGATAGGTGCGATACCTGCTATAGCGTTTCTCGATAATCAAGCAAGATCCGCATGATTCATCGAACAATTAGCGACGGGACGATATGTCGCTTTCATTTCGTATCCGAGTGATCGATTTATCTTGATTAAGGAAGATCGAGGAAGTGATTATTATTAGTATTTCGATATATGTTTTTATTTGGAAGAAAAATAAGTACGAGGGAAGCGTAAACGCGAAAAGCACTGAATTTATCGTTATTACTCTTCGTATGTCTTCCTTTAAATAGTAATATATGATTGCTTGTAGTAAATAGCTACTGTTAACTCGCCAATGTAATGTGACCAGCAAGTGCGCTAAAACTAAGTATCATGGTACTATAGTACTATAGTATTTTTGGTACTATAGTATTTTTAAGAGGTTGCCAGTGATACGACCGTATTAGATGTGGCGAATTTGTCGAGGACATCGAACCGATCGAATCTGAAATCGAGTATTCATTGGGAACAATTCGAGAACACGAATTACCACTTTGATCGCAGAATGTAAGAATAACTCGGGAAACCGATAGAAAGGTTAAAAACACCTTATCCGAGCTGAAGTAGCTGCCACTTGGAAGCTGAGTCTATCGTGAATATTTATTGCCAATATTGTGCTACGTATCGCCTTTTTCTTTCTGGCGTTTGTTTTTCAATTACACAGGGAAAAAGACAAAGTACAAGCCGTTGCGTCGAGATCACGCAAAAACAACGACGGGATAAAAACCGCCTCCGAAACATCGTGCCATTACGTTCGTTCTAGAAACAGCGTCTCTTCCGCCTCTCTCCGGTTGAAAGCTACACTCTGACAAATCCGAAGAGAGCTCGAACAGTGGCACGGAGAACGGGAACGCGCGTAACAATAGAGCTTTCGAATGAAAATTCGATAAACAAAGGGACCGGCAGATCTGGCGGCTGGTACGTGCCGTGGATAACAGGCCAGAATACATTTGTCAGCATCGCTGCGACATTTCCGGCGTTGTGTCGAAACGTGGCCGGTATGCGTGCTGGAGAAATTATTCGTGACGTACGCATTATTCGGTTGACGCGACGGTTCTTGGGCCGAGAATTCGACGGCGATATGCGTGCGTGTATCGTACGTGGTCTAGGATACTGACCGTTCTGGGCGATGAGAGGATAGCGTCGTAGTCAGGCTGGCAAAGTGGTCGTGAGAAACACTACCTGGACTACTGGACATTAGAATCTTCGTTGCGTAAATTAGTTTCCTAATTACCAGCGAGGTAAAAACGTTACCGCGAAACTTTGCCATTTCGAACACCTCTTATTCCAGCGACATCGGAGAGCGAAAAAAAACCAAATATTCGAGATATACCTACTTAACCGTATCATGCTCTCTGTGTGTGTATATATATACATATATATACACGTAAGTAAGGAAGAAATTATCGAAAGAATCGAAGGGAAATGGAAGAGCAGCGAAAACAGCGATAGGTGGTGAATCAGAAGCGTTCGTAACAACGGAAACTACCGGTGAATTGGTAATTGGAAAAAGAAATTTGGTAATTCGTCACTTCGGGAGGATTGGGAGGATAGATGAGAAGATGAAGAAGAAGATCGAGACGCACAGTTTTAGTCGTTCGACTATCCGATGTAATTCGATTCCGTCCAGTTTTACTGTAAATAGTTAAATTAACGCGTCAAGTATAGAAGTATTTGGCAGTACTTTCTTCGTTTCTTCGAGTACTCGTAGAACACAAGTTCGAATCTACTCGAAAGTGTTCGTTCTCGGTTTAGGAACGAGTAGGAAACGCCGTGTGCAAACTAATTGAGATTCTTTTACGCTGGAGACGTTATCGATCGGGTGCTGCCAGTGCCTTTCTCAAGCCCCGGCTGGCGGTCGCGTCACCAAGCTTTTAGGAATTTTGGGATGCACCGCAATATCGAAAGCGTTCGAGCAAACGAGGGCCTAGCCCATCGAAATTCCACTGAATCGCAAGCACCTACTTTTTACCTTGGTCTATTTTAAAGTAGCGTTTTCAGGGCGTTCGAGCGAAAGTTCAGGGGTGGAATAGAATTTCCGAGGAAAAGCGATTCTTCAGGATTCTTCGGGTAGGAGAAGACGGGAAAGTTTGGCTTGTAAAAACGATTTTGGTGATCGTTTCCGGTTTTTAATCGCCGAGTTTATTGCAGATCAAATATGGGTAAACGGTGAATATTACGCCTTGCGACTATGCAGATGTTAGTTAATATTAGAATATTAGAGTTTACGAGTATTGGAATTTCCTAGTTAGTTATAATTTAATATTCGTAATATACTCGATCTAGCGCAATGCGAAATAGAAAAGAAATCCAGGTTTCTATCGCGGGTGACGAGTCGAAATGATAAAGTCTCGCGATGTTACTGGAATATATTATAAATAAATGGAGGAAAAGGACACAAACATTTTGTACGGTTATAGTAATGTCCAAATTCGTGTTTCCATGCATATAATTGAAGATACTGTACTTTAGATATAGAAAAAATCCGCTTTGTTTATTTCGCCTGGGTTCTCTCGTACAATGAATCATCGTTTTGTATCGTGGAAAAGGCCTACGTAACCCTGGCCACGAACGTTTGCGGAACACGTGCGTGGTAGGCCTGAGAAAAGACAATGGGATGCTAGAACAGTCAGTGTCAGTGGAGAAGCCAAAGAGTGTGAGTCGAGAAATCAGAGAGTGTGGTCCGCGTCAGAGAGAGAGAGAGAGAGAGAGAGAGAGAGCGTTGAAACCGTGGTGACGAGAATTGCAAATTAACTATCGAGTTGTCTAAATACTACAATGATTAAAAATCAATTAAAATCAGCGAATTGGCAAGTTAGCAGTTGTAAACTACAGACACTTTATATGCACTTTCTTTGAAAATGTTGAATTTTAAAATCCGTGAAACGAGACGAGATTCGTACGATTTACTCAGGCAACTGTACTTAGTTTATTACCAGTCTATATAAGAAATAAATTTAACAATGAATTTACTTTCAGTATCGTGAAATTCGCGTGTGGCTTGTCAAGTTGAAGCAGCAATATTAATTCAGTTATGTAAGAGAGCTCTGGTATTTCGAGTAGTGTTGTATTGGCAAGCGTAAAAATGCATTTCCAAATTAACGAAGACCAATTTTGTTCGATCGATATTAGAGGGAGGTAATATCGATTAGCTTTCCGTGATATTAAAGGGGCAAAGACTGAATGTGTCGCGCAAAAGATTTCACGCACATCCGCAGTCGACTGTGAATAAAGTTTCGCGAACGAATATCACCTTTTGCAAAATTCCATTGAAACACGCTGAAACACGCTCGTTTTTAACCATTTAACGAGTCATTATTTTATTTTCATATCGTAAAACGCATAGTCGTTCGAATATCGAATAAAAATAAAAGAAAATATCCGGTACATCCGCTTAAAAACATTTATCTTGATCAAGCGAGGTGGAAAATTCATTTTTACAGACAAAAATGTACAATCGATGTGAGGAAAAATCGGTGGTTAAAATATCCCTAATCGGTGGTCGTGTTCCGCGTATTTTTAATTCGATATTCTTTTACTGGGAATATTTTTAATGACGTAACCGTCAGGTTATACAGTAGCCACAAGGCCGTAAACGAAAAACGCGACAAGTCACGTTTCGCGTCTTTTACGAGAGTTTTACAAATTTAAAGTTCGGTACATCGTCGACCGATCACGCGTCAAACTTGACGTCGCGTTATCATGCCTTATGATTATTTAAAAATATTAATAACGTTAATTATGCCGACTAATATCGATCAAGTTAAATCAACGCAATGTCATTTGATTTATGCAAGATATCGCGAATTTATCATCTATATTCAGAAGATACGTACGGCTTTCAAATGGAATATTTTTTCATCGTACCCTACTTTTCTTATCGTATCGTGATTTTTCTTTCTTTTCTCTTTCTTCTTCCTCTTCTTCTTCTTCTTCTTTTTCTTTTTCTTTTTCTTCTTCCTCTTCATACTCTTCTTCTTCTTCTTCTCCTTCCTTTTTTTTTCGTTTGCTCGATCGAAGAAAAATTTAGAACCGTAGGAAGGAAAAAGGGAAAAGATATAATTGATCGCGATCGTAATCGTATTCCGGTTAATTCGATGGAGCTATCGTAGTTTCAAAGTCCTTTTAGACCACGCGGACGTTTAATGCTCGTCTTAATATATTCGAATGAGTTTTGCCAATTAGCAGGAAGTCGGCTTAACTTGGATCGTGTTTCCTTGGATCTCGTTAAAACGAACTTGACTGGATCAGGAATAATAAGGAATAATAAGAAATAATAAGGAATAGTAAGGAATAGCAAGGAAACCGCTGGTGGACAGAATCAGGGTTTTTGCCGCTTGAAAAGTATGGGAAAGTTAGAGAAGGTGTTGTTGGATGGGATACGGGTGTCTGGCGTTTCATCGTAACACGTCTTTGGTAAGAATGTTCTTGCCGTCACGTAACTCGATCGTAACGCGTGTAACGACGCGAATATATCGCAGTTCTCTGGATAAATAAACGAACGTGACAGCAAGACCGAAAAATTTTCGACAATGGGGCGAGGGAAGAACGAGAAATTTACCAGAGGAAGAAGGGAAGCCAACAAGCCAGAAACGCTGACACGATGATTCCCAACGTTCTCGCTGCCTTTCGTTCCCTTCTCATTTTGCTGCTGCTGGTGATCGGTGGATCTTCTGGTTGTGGATCCGGCGACGATTGATCCACAGTTGGCAGCGTGGTCAAACCGGCCGAAATCCCATTGATCTGCAGATGTTTGTTTAAGAGCGCTGCCGCCACTTTGCTCCTGCAACCAAACGTCCCAACTTCATATTTCTGTTGATACGCAAGTCTGGAAAATAAAATAAGGGAACAATGCGTAGCTATTTTAAGCGTTAAAAGTATTCCCTCTGAATAAAAGTAGACTCCTAGTAGCTTATATATACATCTTTAGACTCGTTTCAAGGCTTACTCATATAATCGCTATAGTCCTGATGAAATTTTCAAACGTGTTTTATATAACACGCGTAATATTCCTAATATTCGCGAATGGTTTGCACAAGTGTTCAAACACCTTCGTCGTCTATCGTACATTGAAAACGTAATTATACGTATTTGCAATTTCCTAGCTACGAATATGGTATTTTGTTGGCAAAAGACGTTAAATAAAATATCGCTAAACGTGCGAGTGTTGTCCTTTTGAGGCATTATCTCGGCCGAGCGACTTTCGCCGGGCTATTTTCCAGATAATACGCGTATCTGAAGTTGCCGAGAAGAATAGGCACCGTTACAGCTGATACGAAGCGCGTCCGTCTATAGACGTTCCATTGTCACTGACGCGCATTGTTTCCGCTGCTCCACTACTTTTCCTCTCCGCGCCATCGTTTCTCGATCGCGCTTCTTCTTCGATCGATCTTCCTCTAACATTCTAACGCGTTTCGACAATTATTTCCACAACGAAAAACGAAAGCTTGCTCGATGCGTGCAAATCTGTCAGATATTCAAAGTGAAAATTCAAATACTCGCGGTAACTTTATACCGATCTTTCGTACGATACTCTTAAACGAATATTTCTCTAAGCGAATAAATAAAATTATCGTTTCGTTGTAATTCGATGCTAGTTCGCTGTACGTTACGTTTGCAAAGAAAGAGAGAAAAATATCGAAAAGACGACGAGTTCCCTAGAGCTTTGTGCAGTTTCGATCAGAAGATTTGATTGGTAAGCGAACGTTGCTGGAAAATTCGATCGATTATCGATCATTTTCAATAAAACTAAAACCGCTGGAAGATGCGACCCCCGAATATCGCGTTAAAGCAAATCCTGGAAACTTTTATTATCGTTTCTCCCCTGAAGCTCGAACATCCGCGAATAAATAAGATCTTTCCTTCGCATCTGCGATCTCGAGGGATCAGATCGGCCGGACACGATAGAACAGCGTTTGCTTTTGTACAATAAAAGTCGTCCTATCGATCTGAAAGCTTTTTCGTTCGAGTAACATGGTCGGCGCTCCTTTGAAGTGGAATTAGGAAGCAGAGACGTCGGAGAGGCTGGCTGCAGATTTAATTTTTCCTTTGACCGGCAAAGCACTCGCTATGCCTTGCAAACAGATCTGATTTTGCTCTCCGTGGAAATCCTCGAACATGCAGAGCCAAAGGCGCGTGCAAATCGGAATTGCAATCGGCAAAGAGCCCTCTGTGTCCTGGCTGAGCTACCGCAGACCCTGCTAAACTTTAACGTCGTTAAAGTCGAGGACGAATCTTTCGATCGTATTTCGAGTCGTTCCACCGATGGACCTCGTTCCGACGACAGACTAAAACGTTAGGACTCGAGTACAATGGTCGATGATTTAGTTTTCCGATGAAATCCGAATTTGACGTACAGTGGCAATTAGCAAAAGCTTAGTTACTCTTGCGCTGGAAACATTTGTTGGAAAAATTTCTAATGAAATTTGTAGTATTTGTAATAAGGTATTATCTTAAGTAATCGACGCTTAATCGGGTAAGAAGGCTTCTTAAAGTAAGCTAACTTTTTCCTAGCGGATATATTCACGGACGTTTGTTCGAGGAATTCCAAGAATTTCGATAAGCTCGACCACTGTCGCTTTCTCATCTTTACGCTTATTTTTTTCAACTGCCCGGCACAGCTTGTTTCGAGCAAATCGAGCTGGTAACGTTGGTGCTAACATTGTTATTCGTCGAGAGATACCGTTGAACGTCTTGGAAGAATTTTTTCGTTCGCAAGTTTTCCTTCGTGCTAGTTTTGATAGCTGATACCAAAACGATAAAAGTTTCATCGGCATACTAAAAATTCAAATAATCGCGATTCGATCGAACGCCGATCCGATCAACTTCGAAGTATAGTTCCGACCCTCGTTGGAAAGACGTGGATCGATGGTCTAGGAATCGCCAGTTAATTCGATACTATTTCTCCGGCTTGAAACTTTTTTTCAAGAGCATCTATGGAAAAGCGTGTTGCTGGCGAGTCAATCCACGTGGCAAGGGAAATCGAGAAAAGATTCGGATGAAAGGCGAAAGTTTCCAATCGAGATCTGAAAGTAATCTTCCAAGATCCTAATAAAAGTTGCCATGATTGCGTTCTCGATGGTTCTTGGCGTTTCATCTCGTTTTTCTTCGTCAAAGGTGACATAACGCAATGAGTTTCTCTTTTTTTCTTCCTCCTTTTTCTTTCATGACCTTCTTCATTTACAAGGTATAGGAAACAGTGGAGTAATTAGTTTGCCGGTGAATCGTATCCTGTTTGAAGTGGCAGCATCGCGAATCAAACGTAATAACGACGCTAGTAATTATATCGAGTTATTCGTGTGAAATAGGTCAATCGATATTATTAATCGTTAATTTAACGTTCGTTATTTAACGTTAATAGATCTGCAATTAGATTATTCCTCTTCCTTCGTTCGTTATCAATTCGAAGCGACAACATAGATGACACGGTATACGTATTACACGGTGCGCATTATAATTTAGGTAAAAATAGGCCAAAAACCTTTCTTCTCTCTATTTCGTTCGTATTTTATGATTAATTTCATTTGATGACAGAATGAAAATGTAAATGTTTGCATTTTTATGGATTTAGCATGGCAGAGGAAGTAGGTTCGTTCTTAATTGCGTTATTCTCCATTTTTCCCGTAGATAAGGGCTGCCTCCGTCGCCTCGTGGCGGAAATAATCGAGTTACTGCGTTAAAAACGCAAAGTGTTCCACGAAGATCGAGTTTCGAAAAATTGCTTTCTCTTGCATCGTGTCGGCCGTGCATCGAAATGGTAAAATAAAAGTCTTAGCTCGTTTATACAATTTATAGAATGCCGTTGCGTTCTAGAAAACCAAGCGTGATTACATACTTGTAATAATCTCGAGCGTGCGTATCATCGTTTCGTCGATAGTCGATAGACTGTATCGCACTTATTAGCTATTTATGCGTTTATGTTAAATTTTGGGATAAAAAGGTCGAGACGAATCTTTTATCGTCGCTCACGATCAGATACGTTTTATTAGGCAAGCAAATTTATAATATCACGAGCGATTCCATGAAAAATATCGAAAGTTTCTTCTCGTTTATACGTAAAACGATTCGACGATCGTCGAAAGGGAGGAAAGGAAAGGATAGGAAGGAAAATCGGAAATAGGATAGAAAATTCTCGCGTTTAATTTACAAATCATGGCCGTACCGTCCGACTATAAACTGGCTCGTACTACTCGATGTTTACGCGCCGATCGATCTCTGGTCCATTCTTTGCCCCTGCACTCGCGTCGCATAGATATAGCAGCGATCGAATCATTCGCAAACACTTCTGCCGAATGAATGGCATAAAATGACGATAGAAACAACGTGATTTCGAGATACCTTTTTATCTGTTTAGGGTTCTAGGTTTTTAAATCGAAGCATTCTTTTAGAAAAGAACGCGCAACGCCCAGGAAAACGTAAAGATAGTTTCGAGAAAACTGTTTTTAAAACGTTCGAGTACTTGGATCTCGTTGAAAACTTTTCTCCTCGATTTTATTCGTGGTCAAAACATTAGAACGTTTAAATATTTTTTAATGCAATCGAAGTAATTGATTTAGACGTATCGATGGACATAGGTGAATTTATTTATGCGAAAATGTAATGGCAGAAATTTAGTGTCGAGTTTAAGTATATGTGAAAATTATATGACACGCTATTACAAGTAGATAGGATTAATTTTAATGACGCTAGCGCGAGCGTGTTCAGAGGAATAACCACTTCGGTTCTAACGAACGAAGTCGAATTAATGCCCGAATGCATAAATAAAATGTCTGGAGAGCTTACGGTTACCCAGTTCGCCGATCCTATCGAAAATTTACAGAATGCGGTGAATTTCCAACGTTATCCGAGAAACCGTTCGAGTGGCGTATATCGACCACTATGCCGGCACAATGCATTTTTACTCAAGTATTCTCGATTATCCTATAAATGCACGGATCCGTCCTTTATATAGCGCAACCTTGACTTCTCCAATTATTCGTTATCATAGCGAACAGCTGATATTCATTTTCAAATCGATAACCCACTGTCTTCTCTGTCTCGAGTGAAACGTTGAAAACTCGATCGTGTTTTCGACTCGATTTCGATCGTGCGAAACGAGTACCGGCGTAATTATTATATGAAAGTTACACAGTTCACCGATCGATAGAACGCGATGGTTCTTATCCTCTATCTTTTACTTGGGGACATTTTTAAAATTTCGTGCTACGACGAATTGTCGTAGCGAATGCCTGAAAGCGAAGAATCTCGATCAAAGTAAGAGTCGTTGGAATCTGCGAGTAATTTCTTTGCATTGGTATTAGCTTTCTGTATAATAAACGTCGATACGTTTGGAATTTTACGCCTCCGTCGGCCCATATAATTTCCAGAGGAATTTCCAGTTGTTCGATTCGATCGGACTTTTCTCCATCTAACGAGCAATTAACTTTATTTCATGGAGTGGATCGTGTAACACCGACCAATCATCGTCCAATTAATAATCATGCAGGCGTGGGCGTTATTTAATAAAGTGAACCATATAAAGAAGGATGTGTGTTAGTTTATTCAAACAAGAAAATGCTTTCTCCGGGAATTATTTCAGTACATATTTGAGGCCTATAATACGTTTATTATTCGAGACTAATTAAACCTTTATAAACTAATTAAAACTTTATAAAGTCTAAGATTATTTGCTATTTTATTTCAAACCTTCGAAACGAAATTATTCGAAATTGTAAGTTTTTAGCGTTACTTTGGATGACGTTTTCTCGGCTCTGTAACCATCGTAAAATACAGTGAAACAAAGCG